GAGAAAGAGAGAGAGAGAGAGAGAGAGAGAGAGAGAGAGAGAGAGAGAAAAGACAATCATTAAGTCACATTTCAAAAACCTATACTGCAAAATACAGGAAAATCTAAAAGAAATGGAAAACTTTGTTAACAGTTACTATAAACCAAAATAAAATCAATATCTTAAAGAATAGAAACATTAAAATCTTCTAACTAAAAAAAACCCACCATGGCTATATGGCTTCAGTGCAGAATTCTGTCAGCATTTCATAGAAGAGATAATACCAATAGCTGCACATGGATAGAAGGACCTCCCACACCATTAAGAAACTAGAGCTAATGGGCCAGGCAGTGATTTAATTAATACAGTTTCTGTGTGGTTATTTCAGGTATAAGCTAGCCAGGTTGCCAGGAAGAACAAGCCACTCTTTGACTTGAACAACCAATACTCTTCAACTTGTTCTGAACAATTGAAACAGAATGAATATGTAAAATTTTTTTTATTAGGTCACAGTTACCCTGATAGCCAAACCAGACAAAGATGCAACAAAGAAAGAGAATGAGAGCTCAAACTCCTTCATGAACATTGATGAAAAAATTCTCAATAAATTACTGGAAAAAATGAATCCAAGGACACATACAAGAAAAGAAATCATCCACTATGACCAAATAAATTTCATCCCAGAGATGTGGGGTTGGTTCACAGATTTTCATTTGTTGAAAATCTGTCAATGTAATCCACCATAGAAACAGACTTGAATAAAAAACCCACATGATCATCACATTAGATTCCAAAAAAGCTTTTGATGGAATCCAACACCCCTTCATGATAACGTCTCTGGAGAGATCGGGTCTAGATAGCAGTTTCTTCCTGCTCAGTCTCACAGCCATCCATTCCAAAATACACAGTCTTTATTAATTATAAACTGGTGGCATATTAACTCATGTTTACTCTCAACTAGCTCTTAAAACTTAAATTAACCCATAATTCTTATCTATGTTTACCCATGTGGCTGAGTACCTTACTCAGTGAGGTATTCTCATCTTCCTTCTTCTACATCTGTCTGGTGACTGCAAACTGAGCCTTTCCTCTTCCCAGAATTCTCCTAGTCTGGTCAACCTACCTACACTTCCTGCCTGCCTGGCTACTGGCCAATTAGTGTTTTAGTACATCAGTAAAAGTGACAAAACTTTACAGGGTCCAAGAGAATTATTCCACAGCAATCTGGGATGCAAGGAACATACCTAAACATGATAAAGGCAATAAAAGCAAGCTAGAAGTCAATAGTAAATTAAATAAAGAGAAACTCAAAGCAATTCCAAAAAAGGAAGCAAAACAAGTCTGCCCAATCTTTCTACATCCTTTCAATATAATACTTGATGTTCTAGCTAGAGAAATAAGACAACAGCCGGGTGGTGGTGGTACATGCCTTTAATCCCAGCACTCGGGAGGCAGAGGCAGGCAGATCTCTGGGAGTTCGAGGCCAGCCTGGTCTACAAGAGCTAGTTCCAGGACAGGAGCCAAAAAGCTACAGAGAAACCCTGTCTCGAAAAATTCAAAATAACCCACACAAACAAATAAGACAACAAAAAGAGATCAAAGGGATACAGATTGAAGAGAAGAAGTCAAATTTTTGCATTTTGCAATGATGTAATAGTATATATAAGTGACCACAAAAATTATATCATGGAACTCCTGCATTTGATAAGACATTAAGTAATGTGGAAAAGAAGATGTTGGAAAAGAGATCAGAAAATAGAAGATCTCCCATGTTTATGAATTAGTAGGATTAATATAGTAAACATGGAAGTCTTACCAAGAGCAATCTACAGACTCAATTCATCTCCATCAAAATCCCAACACAATTCTTCACAGACTTTGAAAGAACAATACTCTACTTCATATGGAAAAACAAAAACCCCAGACAGCTGAAAGAATCTTGTAAAGAACCTTCTGGAAGTATCACCATCGTGATTACAAGATCTATAGAGCTATAGTAATAACAGTTTGGTTTGTCATAAAAACAGAAACAGGGATGAATGGAATTCAATGAAAGACCCTGACATAAATCCATATATCTATAAACACCTGATTTTTGACAAAGAAGCCAAAATCATACAACATCAACAAAAGAGAAATCATCATCAAAAAGTAATACTGGCAAAACTTGTGCCAACAAGTAGAAGAATGCAAATAGATTCATATCTATTGCCCTGAACAAAACTCAAAGTCCAAGTCTATCAAAGACCTCTATATAAATCCAATTGTACTGAAGCTGATAGAGAGGAAAGTGGGAAGTAGCCTTGAACACATGGGCACAGGGGACCACTTCCTGAATATAACACTAGCAGCACAAACATTGAAATCAACAATTAATAAATGGAATCTCTGAAAACAGAAAAGTTTCTGTAAGTAAAGGACACTGTCAGTAAGAAAAATGGCAGTGTACAGAGACCAGGTAAAGATAGGGAGGAGCGATTATATGAGTAAGGGGAGTGCTGTGGGACAGGTATGCTGATTGGCCAGTAGCCAGGCAGGAAGTATAGGTGGGGTGCAGAAAGTTGAGACATGGCAATGAGAATTCAGGGAAGAAAGAAGTCTCAGTCTGGAATTGTGACCTAGTTGCATAGCAAGCAAGATGTAACTGTCTTGCCGAAAAAGGCACTAAGCCACATGACTAACATAGAAAAGAATAATGGGTTAATATAAGTTATAAGAATTAGTTAATAAGAAGAGCCAAAGAAACTCTTAGGGCCAATCAGTTTATAAATAATATAGACTTCTGTGATGAGAATTAATGACATAGGGAACTGTGCAAAACAGAAACCTCAGTCAACAGGGGAGGGTGAAGATCATGGCAGGGAAACCCACAGAAATAGCTGACCTGAGCTCGAGAGAGCTCACAGAATCGGTACCAACACCTAAGGAGGTGGCATAGGACTCTTTTAGGCCTTCTGCATGTGTCTAACCGTTGTGTAGGATTGTCTGTTTATGGGATTCCTAGCAATGGAACCAGGATTTACTCATGGCACATGAACTAGCCTTTTGGAACATATTCCCTGTGGTGAAATGGATTGTTCAGCATCAATACAAAAGGAAGGGTCTAGGTCCTGCCTTAACTTGGCATGCCATGCTTTGTTGGCTCCCATGGAAGGCCTTATCCTTTCTGAATGGAGACAGGAGTGGATGTGGGGGACAGAAGGGACTGAAAAGAGAGGAGGAAGGAGAAACTCTTGTTGGTGTATGAAATAAATAAATGCAAAAAATACCCACAATCCTATGAGCTTGCGTAAAACAAGCTAGCAAACAAGTAGCGCTGAAAACAAATGTAGAAGAGGAGCAGTAACTCTATCACTGAGGGTAGAATCCTCTCTACATATTTAGCATTAGTAAGCCCTATATCTTGATGCCATCAATTTATGAACAGACAAGCTCCTTTCTTCTTTCTTTTCTGTGAGATACAGACCCAGAGTGTACTCAAGGGGGAAATAGATACAGATATAGCACCATGAGGACAATAACAGAAGAATACTCAAGTAAGAGTGATAACACAGTCAATGCCATTTACTCTTATAAATTTTTCCATTTAAAGCCAATTCAATAGATGCTGCTTGTTACTTTGGTGTATGTTGTATGTGTGAGTGCATAGAGGTCAGATGGTGTGGGAGGTCCTTCTGTTTATGTGTTGCTTTGATTGGATAATGAATGAAGGACTGCTTTGGGCCTGTGCAGGGAATAGAGGTAGGCAGGTAAAGTGAGGCAGAATGCTGAGAGAAAGGAAGTAGAAGGAGAGAGAAGCAAAGGAGCTGCTGCTAGGGACAGATGTTTGAAAACTTTACCCAGTAAGACACAGCCATGTTGCAATATACATATTAATAGAAATGGGTTAAATTATTATGTAAGAGTCAGCCAATAAGAAGCTAAATGTCATGGGCCAAATAGTGATTGAATGAATACAGTTTCTATGTGAGTATTTCAAGTCTGGGCAGTTGGGATGAACATGTAGTCTCCCCCAACAGTCAGAAGACAATTTCTAGGAGTTCATTACCTCTATTTATTACGTGGGTCCTGGGGATGAACTAATTCTTAGCTGTAGTAGCAAAAGAATTAATTACTTTGCCATATTATTGGCCATTAATATGCTTTAAAGACTTTTATTTTATTATATGGGGTGAGACCCATAGAGAAAAACAATATGTCTGTCATTTGTATATACCCAACACTAACCAAATAATCACTTGACTAAGAAGAGCATAGGTGACACCACGATTCAGATAATTGTGACTAACGTATTTTCATACTAAACTGTTTTAATATGATATTTGTGACATTATTAAGTGGGTTCTGTACTTAAAAATATTGAATGCAGGACTCCTCATATGTTCTATATCATGTGTCAGTACATATAAATATTCCCTAGAGTTCAAATCACATTGATCCTTTGAAAAGAGGGGTCTTTGTATCTTGCTTAAAGTCTTCTCTCTCATATTCAACTGTTAGTGATTTAACTGTACAAGTAATTATTCCTGTTTTCATTAACTATACAGAGAACTTACAATTGGTTCCTAACATCCACATAACAGAGTTCTGTAGTGAGAGACTGATAGAAGGACCTCACACACCAGAGTTCAGTGGATCTGATGTCCTATTCTGATCTTCATTGATTCTTATATGTACATGATGCCTATAAGTGTCTGTAGGGATACATACACACATGCAGTTAGATTAAACAATCACTAGGAAAGACCTTGTTTAGAATTCTCTCACATTGCAGTTTGAATATCAAAACTGCTTCTTTGAGAAACTGACATATGCCATGAATTTTCAGTGAGTCAAAGATCTATGTCGTAGCAAACAGTTTGACTTAAATAGACATTGATATTGATCACATTCCAAAAAAATCTAACTTAGGAAAGGGATATAGTCAATCTGTGCAGCAGATTTTAGACCCTTTGATCATCCCTCTGTATGTTAGAGAGGATGATAAACATGAAGGGTTTATCTCAAAAGTAAATACTCACTTGTGTCATTAGAAATTTCATTTTCTGGGCAGGGACTGCATTCAAAACAGCAGGCTGCCATTCCCTCCTGCCTGAACTTTCTGAATCCAGGACCACAATCAGCACTGCACACAGAGGGTGGCATCTGAGGAAAATTAGACAAATGATGATATCAGGAGATCTGCCTATTCATTCCATAACTACTTTAAATTACCTTAATAAAATTTCAATAAATTTATTTTATATACGAAAGAGTGACCATATTTCACTTAGCATATTATAGAATGCCAATTTATGTGAATGTGTAGAAAAAATTTAATATAAAACTGAGTAGCGTCACATTGCTGGAAATTTAGGAAGAAGAATCAGTTGTTCAGTCTGGACAAATAAACATGACAGAGCATGCGAAGAGTTTTTTCTACTTAAATTTTACAATTTGACAATTTGACACAAAGAACATTAAAAGGTTAGAAGGAACCTTAACCAAAAAAAATTTCCATTGGATTATCCTGTAACTATAACTGCAAAACATTTTACTCATTGGTATTTGATGTATAAGTGCCCAGTCTACTGTGGGCAATGCTGTCCCCTAGGCAGCCTGTATGAGAAATCAAGTAGAAGAAGCCATTAAGCAGTGCTCCTTCAGGATCTGTACTTTGTTGCAGTCTTCAGATTCCTGCCTTGTCTTCCCTCAACTATAACCCACAAGTCAAACCAGCCCTCCCTTCTCACTTTGCTTATGGTCTGTTTAATCACAGCAATAGCATAGCAAACTAGGACTAATGGAGCAATCTAAAACAGGGAAATACTCCTCAAATCTGAGACAGCACACATGAACTCCACTAAAATCACCCTGCAAAGCATGACAGAGTGTAAAAAGATAGAAGAATAGGTAGAGCCTGGTGCATTTCTAGCGATGAATTGCTGAGTTGATGTGCACTGAGATGGAAGGTGGAGTGTTTCCTGAGAATAATGTGCTTGACAAAGGCTGCAGGTGCTGCAGAACCTCGATAAAAGTTAAATAACTTAAGGTAAATTTAAAGATTTCTTAAAGTTTAAAATAAAATATCTTCAAATCATCAAAAAAAACCTGGTGATAGGGCTCTTTATGCTGCTTCGGAAAACTGCTAATACTGCAGGTCACAATGTATGCTCTGTTCAGTGCTGAGTTCAGTGTTGAAACTGCAGTGTCTCCTATGGACAGGCTCTTTCATATTCTCCACAATATAATTAGGGACAAACATTCCTTTGTTTTTTGCCTCCTTGAATGAGGGTTTCACAGTGTAGTGGTGGTAGACTTCACTCCTTTTATAGACTAGGCTGACTTAGATCCCACAAGGATATGTCTCTTCTGCCTCCTGAATGCTGGGGTTAAACATGTATGCTACCAGTGGACATATTTCTTTCTTTCTTTTTTTTTAAGATTTATTTATTTATTTATTTATTTATTTATTTATTTATTTATTATGTATACAATATTCTCAGTATTATTCTCAGTATTCTGTCTACAGGCCAGAAGAGGGCACCAGATCTCATTACAGATGGTTGTAAGCCACCATGTGGTTGCTGGGAATTGAACTCAGGACCTTTGGAAGAGCAGGCAGTGCTCTTAACCACTGAGCCATCTCTCCAGCCCCAGTGGACATATTTTTTCCCTTCTTTTCTGTTTTTAATGGTTGCAATTTCCCTTTATACTTGCTAAGATATTAAGGAGTATTTTGAATGACTGTGGAGAACATGTATTTACTTGTCCACTTTTTACCCATGTATTTTGAAGTGTGGTCTCTATATGCATCTTTAGCTGGCTTGGACTTGCTATGTAGACCAGACTTGCAATAAAAAGACAGGGCTCTTTGACTGTCTCTGCCTCCCAAGAGTTTAGATTAAGATATGTACCTCAACATACAACTGGCCTCACTTAGGATTTTAATGGAAATTCTTGAGTTTCTCTCCTTATAGGACTATGTTGTCAAAAGCTTTGCCACAGAAAACATTTTTAAAGTTATCAGGCAAGAAAATATTAATTAATCAAAAGAAAACCTGATTTTGTCAAGATGTGATATTTCTTTTGTGCTGTTTTTTTAAATTTTTTAATTAACTCTGAATGAATGCTGAAATTGTTATGCACACCTTCTACATATATTTGGATTATCCTCTAGTTCTATCCATGAGTCTATTTATGCGCCACATTTACATAACTGATCTGCGTAATTTGAACCAAACTTATATCTCTGAAATATACTCATCTTTACCAGAGGAACAGATATTTCTGTTGTGTTGTTGAGGTTTTGTGTTTTTTTTTGTTTGTTTCATTTTGTTTTTGCAGAATTAGGCTGGATATTTATTTAGTGGGTTATGGAAGGGAAAAGGACAAAAGGGAAAAGAGCAGAGAGAGAGGAAGAGAGGGGGAGAAGTGGGGAGAAAAGAGAGACAGAAATTGCCTTTTTGGGAGAGAGATGGGAAGGCATGTTATTGAGTGTTTTACTCAGGTTTAGTTGAGAAATTTTACATCTATGTCCATCAAAATGTTTAGTCTCTAATTTTTTTATCATGTTACATTTTCTCAAATATTCTCCCACCCCATATTTATAGAAGTAGTCTCTTCATGTTTGTAAGTGAGGTTTGGTTTTGGAAGCAAAAATGACTGCTGGTTTTATAGCCAATCTTGATGTTTGTGTATTTTGACTAGAGAATGGGAAGATTAACAATAAATTGGTATTGAAAATCTTTAGCTAATTATTAATGCTCTTCATATGAATTCCATAATAGTGTGAGAATGGTTGTGAATTCCAATAATTTATGTTCATCATTGAATTTTTTTCTATCTCTGTATTTGTTAGGCTTCTTAGGAGTAACAAACTTACAGAACAAAACTGTGTCTGTTTCTGTCTCTATCTCTGGCAACTGAAAATCCAGATAAAAATCTTTCCACACTTAAAAGATCTCAATTAATAGCAGGTTCTCTCTCTCTCTCTCTCTCTCTCTCTCTCTCTCTCTCTCTGTCTGTCTGTCTGTCTGTCTTTCAGTCCTTTAGCCTTCCTTTCTGTATGTCATACTTCTTTTTTATTTTTTGTTACGTTTTTAACGACAAGGTTTTTATCTTTCATCCTAGCTGTCATGGAACTCACTGTGGAGAGCAGGTTGTCCCCCAACTCAGAGATCCACCTGCCTGTACCTCAAGAGTTCTGTGATTAAAGGCATGCACCACCCCTCCACTTTGTAAGGTGTTTTTTCCTATCTCAAAGATATGGATGGGTAAGAAGTAAATCATCCCACTTCACATTAAGCAAAATTACCTTTAAGTTTTGCTCTGCATATTTGGGTTTCATTGAATTCTGAATACTGTCAACTTGATACTCAAGAGGAGGCAACACAGTCTCCTTCGTTTATGAAAGATAACTTTGTTGGGTATAGCTTGGGGCTTGACAGTTATGAATCTAACTGCTTCCGTTCTAGCACTGATACTGTCCTGTTTCCAGAGAGTTCATGAAGGAATCTACTGTAATCCAGGTGGGGAATTTCTATGAAATGGACTTCTTTCCAGAAGCCTTCAACTTCTTCTCTTTTTCTATATATTTTGAATTCAAAGTATACTATAACAGGGGAAGGTTCTCTTCTGATATTATGTGTTTGGTATTTAAATGCCTCCTGTTTCCAGATAGCCACGTGTTCCACTGTATTCTGGAAAATCACTGTTACATAGTATTGGATATACTATTGATGCTTAAGGTATATCCTTCTTCTCCCCTGGCAATAGTTTAAAAATTGGATCATTTAATTTTATCCTCTTGGTCTCACACATCTTTTATATTTTCTTATTTTGTCTTCATCATAGTTTCAGATCTCTATTTTCAGCCTGGTCTTCGAGTCTTGCTACCCTGTCATCATCTTGAAGTATTCTGTTAGTGAGACTTTTCACTGATATTTTCAAGTGATTTCATTTGTCTTTCCTTTCCATATTTTAGTTTGAATATTTTTCATTATTTTGTACCTTTTGGGATGTATCTGCCACATGCTCACACATTTCCATATTGTATGCAAGTTTTTTTGAACTCCTTGCTTTGTTCTGGAGGTTGTTTGACTTTCAAGGTCATCTTTGAATTCTTTGTTCAGTACTTCATTGAACACACTCTTGTTTAAACTTCTGACTCTAATATTTTTTGCATGGATGTGTTCATAGTTTCTTCACTTGTTTGTGTATTGAAATTTGCATATCTATGAGTATAGCCCTGGTTGCATTGTTCGTAATCCTCTGGATTCCTGCAGTGGATATTTTTGTAACGCTCAAGGTAGGCTAGCTTACAACACACGTGACATTTCATTACTGATCTCTGAATGTACATGTAGTTCAGTAATTAACCCTTCAGATCAAATGTCCTTTTCCCGGAGAATGACTCTCCTCATCATTCTGAGAAAGGATATTAACTGTAGACTTCATACTACCCGGGCAACCTGAATATAACTTCAGATAAAGATTGGAGTGTTTCTTGAAGTTAACTCCTTTAAAATTCTAGCCACTTTGTAGTTTGGGAGTTTGAATTAGATACCTTAAAATCACCTTCATGAGAATTCTTATCTATACCATACATAGAAGCCATAGAAGAATATATCATTTATAAATTTTCAAAAGCAAATTTCTTTACTACCAATACCTCCACCCAAAGAGATAAGGAAACTGGATACACACTTGTTTGTTTTAAGTGAACTTTGAAAGAATTAATGGGATCAAGAAATGTTCCTCTAGTGTGAAATTTCTTTTACAGTATAAGCTTCAGGGCTAGAGAAATGGCTCAGCTGTCAATAACAATTGCTCTTCATGAGCAGAGGCAAGATTCATTAATAGTTCACCCTGTGTGGAACAAGTTGTCTCCACTTTCGTGGAAATCAAAAGCATTTTTCTGACATGCATATGCACCACACATTCCAGTACTGCACAGAATCACGCTGAAAAACATTCATACCAACAGAAAAGAAAAAGACAGAAAGATAAAACAAGATTACAATTCAAAAAATTTCTAAATGGGTCAAAAAATGTTATGTTGATACATGGCTAAAGATATTGGCAATTTAGAACATGTTGACAAAAATGCTTAAAGCAAATTATTTAATAAAAATCAATGATTGCCATTTGTTTACTTTCCTCCCCCTTACAATTTGCCTCAGTCTTCCAGCATCTGTGTCAGAGGTGCTGCAGAAAAGAGGAAAACCACTGTGTATTAATTAGAATAGGACGAACAGAATATTGCAGGAAATAAGATTAAACAGTGGTAACCACCAGTTGGCTATTTATTTTAAAAGCTTGAAACATGTACTTGTATGATAAAAATCACAGTATGCATGCATGAAATCCTGAAATAATTCATACAATGTCACATCAAAAGTGAAAAGAAGAAACATTTTGTAAGAGGCTAGAAAATGGCTCCTAAAGTGTCAATCTATTTTTACTAAGTTACATGGAAGCACAAGTGGACCCACATGACAGCGTTCCTGCTGTGTAATGCAAATCAGTACATCAGGTTAGACTTACCTGTCTCCTTCCAGTGGCCCACTCTATAGCGTCTTCATATAAATGGAGCTGTTGACGATGTGGGAAATATGGGCTAAACATTCCTATCTTCACCTTAAGTCCAAGCCCATTTGGGAAATTCCAAATCTGGAAAATGTCATACTCTGGCTGCAGTTTTTCTTTCTGGTTCATGTTCACTCTGTCCCCAACTGGATTAGTGAAGTGGGCCTTCCTAATTAAGGAGTACAGCTGAAAGACAGTCAGCATTCTTTAGTGAGTGTGCCCTTCCTTGAAGTCAGAAAATATATTCTTATTTCATCTTAAATGTAACTTTATTGAATGTGCCCATGTGAGAAATCTCAATGAAAGCAAGTAGATAAATGGAAATATAATAACAGTCCTAGAATTTTATTTCATTCAGGGAAAATACCAAACATAAGCACAGACAAATTTGAAGACATCAATGGTAAGTATAAAATATTCATAAACACATACACACACAGACTCCTATTCATATATAAAACCATACATAATACAGGCACATACTATTTACACATACATACACCTGAACCCAAGAAAGGATATGAATATAGAGACACACAGAGACAGACTTATGCACTCAGACACAGAGAAAGAGAAACCCACAAAACGTACACAGGCCCATGTCAGGAGGTATTTTCCCAAAAAGTATAGCAGGGACTATTGTCCTAAGGATATTTGTGGGGAGCCCCACACCCAACTATCTTGAGCTATCTGTTAGCCGAACCCGCCCCACATTCCAGCTTTCTAGAAATTGGTGGTTGGAATCACAAAAGCAACGATTCCGCTTGCATAGAGAACACTAGGTGTGTTGACTCGTGACCGACTTGTGACCATTGCTGCAAGATCCCTTCCTGCCCTTGCCATGCCCCTGCCCCCATCCCAAGACAAATTCCTCATTCAAGGGCTATTTAAGCCACAACCATTTCACTAATAAAGTGAGACCTTGACAAGAGCTCTGCTTGGTCTCCTTCCTCTTTCCCGCGCCCACGTCTTTTTCAGATAGCGCCTCTCAGGGACCCTGGAATAACTGACCCTCCAGGTGGGTTACAAGCCTGGAATAACTGACCCGCTGGGCGGGTTACAGGCCCATACACATGCTCACAAATTCATAAATAAATATGCACAAGGAGACATACACAGTTATAAGCAGCCACGCATGGACACAATGACAGAGACAAATTTATCCTCAAATGCAAAGTTAGGCAGAAAAACATGGAAAGGAACAGAAACACAGATTTACATATGTACAACACATTCACCAAAACACGTCCATACATAGTAAACAAATATGCATAAGTGCAAGCACAATCACAAAAACAGACAAATCACACACATAGGAACTTATAGACACATGCACTGAAAATACACATGGGGAGAGACACACAGAAACACACCCATAGAGAAAGACATTGACAAAAGGCCAAGTTATTCCCACTTATACACACAGGTAGATTGGCAGATAGATAGGAGCACATTTTTAACATCTAAACAGATATACCCAGAAGTACAGAGAAACACACAAACATCCACCCTTACACAAAAAGAACCATCCATTCATACACACGTGAGTTTTCCAGATCCCAGAGTTGGGGCACATTAAGTTTAGAACACCTGGGCAAACTATGCCCTACACTGATTACCACATATTTGTCAATTAATGAGCAAAAGCTCATCTTTAATCATGGAGAGGATTAATGAAGAAGACTCCCATGTTTCCAGTATTACAATAGGGGTGATGATATTCAGGTGCTGTATAACAGGATCACTGGCTTTTATTGAGAATTTGTGTTTCTCAACCCACAATGTATTCATTTGAGATTTCCCAAATCTCTAAATTTACTTCCTCAAGAGGAAAAATGTTCAAAAATCTTTCTATTTGGGGAAATATATCATAACCCACTAGAATGGGATAGCTGAGACTCTAATATAGACTGATATAGAAAACAATGGATATCATCAAATAGAAAGATTACCTTCATGCAGTTAGACAGGTGTACTTCCTCATTGTCCACTGACTGAAGAAGCCTCTCATGGAGAGCATGGGCCATAGTATACACAGCATTGTATATGTCATAGCTGTCATCACTAAAAGCCATGTCGAATGTCTGTGCAATCAGCCATTCCAATGAGCTGTTGGATGAGCAGTTCCTCAGTGTCTTACACAGAGAAGCCGAGACTTCACAGTTAAAATTCATCCATTCCAGCCCCGCCAGGTATTCATCTGAGTATTTGAGAGGGTTCAATGTCTGAATAAAATTTCTAAAACCAGAAATCTCAGCATGGTGGTGTGCAAATGCTAGAGTCCCATGGAACAATTCAGTCAAGGGGTCACTCTGACTTGTAGTGACATCGAACTGTGAGGTGGTGACCCAGATTCTCTTTATTCCTCGGGATGTCCACCTTCTAAAGCTGGCACTTAGAAGACTATCTGTCTCACCATAAATGATAACAACATTTGACGACGATGTCAAGATTTGGTTATAATACACTTCAGCTCTTAACTTGTACAATTGAATGTTGAGCGGAATCATGTTCACAAAGGCAAAGCAGAGTATATTTTTTTCCATCTCTGTTCTCAAATATGAGAAAAACTGGATACCCTGATCATTGTCTGAGATGGTCAGCCCAACCCAGTTCCAGCTGAAATGAAGTATGAGGGAGACCATGGCCATGGGTAGAGATGTGTCCTCAGGGGCCATTTGATACAGAAAAGGAAATTGTTCACGATCGCTCAGGGTAGGATGGAAGGGTCCATAGGTAAGCTGAAAAAACTAGGAAACAAGGAGCAGCGTGAGGTATCATGCACTCTTAAGGACTTGTTACAGACACTTTTCTGCCAAGAGTTCTAAATCACACACCCTTGCCGGTTACTCTTCCCTCACCTCTATTTCAAAAAGGTAAATACAGAAGTCCCCTGAATAGTACCCATAGACTAAACAGTTTGAGATAAGTGTACTCCAGTCTCTTCCTCACACCTTTTCTTAGCACCTGAGAGTGTCACCAATGGAGACAGGATTTCTTGCCAACCCATGACCACACTAAATCTCACCTGATAAGGATAGAGGCTGTTCATGAATTTTGCATCCATAGAAGATATTATCCAGTTTGGTCCTGAAAGCATAACTGCACATGTGTTCAAGCTTTCACAGTTATAATTAGGATAAACACCTTCAGTATCTTTAGTAGGGAATGTAAAACGATATTGAATGCAAGTGCGTAATTGTGGCAGAGTCTTACACCCACTTGACATAATTTGAAATATTAAAGTCATATTTGGTAAAAGATTCGAGTTCCTGTTGACTTCAGCCAAGGAAAAAATTAGAGCCAATAAAAACTGATAGTTTTCCTTCGGTGTTCTGTAAAATGATACAGTGTTTAATAGGACAAAGACCTACAGAAAATCATGTAAATGAATACAGGGACTGTCTGTACTGAACGGTATTCCCAACCACCCCCAATGTTTGAAATGAATCTTCTGTGTTGTGATGTTCAGATGACATAGGAAGCTGGAAGCTTGAAAAAAACTTTAAAATTTCATGAGAGTGCATCTCCAGTAAAGAAAATGTGCCATCGTCATCTTTCAAAGAGAACCTTGTCCACATCTGGTTTTTGAGTAAAGATAAGGCCACAGGCTTTGGCCAAAGAGTAAACCTGGTCATGATTTCAGTTTTAAATGATTGAACAATAAAAATGCACATGAAGCGTGAACCATAGAATTTACTATATGTTCTGTGAAATTAACTGAATTGGCTAAGGCAGTCAAAATGTCTGATGAGTGTAAAGTAGCATGGGCAATATTTGACTCTTCTGTTTACAATTAGTTATAATCAGTGGGCGATATACTTAACACATCCCATCCTATCCATCTTCATCTTTTTCTTTCTTGTTTATCTTTTTCAGTCATAAAATCTTTTTTAGGATACATTTTTAAATGTATTCAAATACCAGAGATGTACTTGGTAAAGATGTATGTCTTTCTGCATCTGTGTATATGTAAAGGATTAATGCACATTTAGGCCATAAATAATGAACGGATTCCATGGTTTTGAATCATCCTTTGTTGTAGACTAGACTCGCCTCAAAGGCATGGGGCTATACCTGCTACAGGTCCTGAGTGAAGTATTTAAGGGCATGTACTTCCTTCCCAATATTGTTCACCTATTTTATGTTTACACCAGTATGCCATATATTCACCCTGGGTGTATTTGACTAACATAAATTTTCTTCTGGAAAATATCTTTCCAGATATCTTTCCAATTGTAAAAGGCACGGCAGGCTGCTTCCGACCCTGCCCAGCTCCTGGCTAGCCTTCCCTGAAATAATTACACGGAAACTGTATTCATTTAAAAATTCCCTGGCCCATGAGTTCTAACCTCTTATTGGCTGCCTCTTACATGTTGATTCATTACTAATAATCTGTATCGCTACTTGACTGTGGCTTAACAGCATGAGTCTAACCATCATCCTTCTGGGAGAGAAAAGGCATGGCGTCTTCCACACTGCCTTCTTCCCAGCATTCTGTTCTTTCTACTCTACCCACCTAATTTTATGCCCTATCAAAAGGCCAATTCAGTCTTTTTATTAATCAATTAAAGTAACACATAGACAGAAGACCCTCCTACACCATCCAATTACAATGGCATCCTACCGGGATTTGTATGTGCCAGTATTACATGATTCCAAAATAGAAGACATTAATTGTAAAGTTAATGTTAAATATTTATGGAGTTTCATGTAATAACAATGGGTAAGTAGTCAGTTGGAAGAGAATGATACCAATTTGTGTTTCTGTATATGGGAAGAATAATTGCTGTTTCTTCCTAACTCATTGCATATAATCTAACCATTAAATATCAAACATACATTATCATTTTGAATAATTCATTCAAGTTAAATACAATAACTTTACCACTTAGAAATTGTACCACTGTGGTGTTTTATGTATGAAAATAGGTATTTATCTCTATATTTATAAAATAAAAAATTTAGAATATTCTTTATTATCACACAGAAAATATAACATTGAAAATTTTGGTAACTTGCAACAGAAATCTGAGATTAGAACTTGTGAAACTCAAACACTAAATCCTTTAAACTAAGTATTAAGAAACCACTATGATTTGAAACAATAAAGTGACCTAGTGGATTAAAGTTCTGTGTTTTAAACCAGCTCTTAACAATTGATAAAATCAAAATATATATATTTCAAAAGTTCATAAAACAGGCAGAAAGAATAAAGTGCCTTACAGAAAAACAAGAAAGGTCAATGCAATATGACAGTCAGAGAATAAACAACTTAGACACGGAAAGAAAAGACACATGCCTCTTAAATAATAGCATAGGTGAACCTGGTGGGTACCTCCTCTATCCCTGTTATCAGGTCATGCTAATTCTCAAATGGCACAACTGTTCCTAAAGCAAGTGACAGCAGAAGTGAGCAGTCACCATTATTAGTGTCAGTTTCATTTTTCAAAGAATGCAAACCTATCATTTACTTTCTATACATTCCTTCTTTACGTTAATGTTTCAGTGAAGAAATGGACTTTGAAATTAAAGGCCAGTTGTTGTGCATGTATATATGTGAACTGTTGAGAACAGGAACTCATAGGAAGTTCAGAGTGGACTGACTTCCTACTTCTGTCTTGATGCATCTTTAAAAGTTTTAGTGTGCCCACATTCAGAGCATCTGAGAGAGTAACTGAAAATCTATGTGAAAGCTCTGCACAGCTATCAGGACCACAAATGTTAGTTGTCCTACCATTGAGCATAGATACGCACATTGATGAGTGTTCATCAGGTGACTCTATGACCATTTAATTGTACCCACTTAGGATAACATTCATTGAAACACAATGGGCTTTCTTTAGATGAGGCATCACCTGCTACTGTGCTGTGGAAACTGCAAAGAGTCAGGCTATATGTGATGGAAAAGGTACAGAGTCCTTCTTCACACAGCACCCAGTCTGGTAATTTGGAGGGAGTCTGGGAGAAAAATAGAACATTCTCCGGAAATTTAAACGTAGAAAAATAACATGTAGTCTCTAAAAGAATGTGATTTTTTTTGGGTGCAGGTTGGGAGAAGAGGGCAGAATATACAAGGCATTGTTCAGATGTTCATCCTCTTGGCCCCCCATGGAATATCCATGATGATATTTACATAGAAAATACAAAGGCACTTACTCTCCATGCGAAAGGCCTCCCAAATAATCCACAGGTCCTACTATATCTATTGAGGCCACAAAAAAGATATAATATCTCAATGAGTCTCCATCATACTCTTCATTCTCCTTCATTCTCCAGAAGCACCTGGGATGAATGAGACTGAGCTCCTGAGGTAAAATGTTCAGTAGCAAGAAGAACAAAACCAAAGTAAGCATGTTTGTCTGCTTTAAGCCTGGGCAGTTGAATTATGAGCTTCCACGCAGATCAGCACATCCAGTCGGCACCTGGGTATCATCACCTGCTTTTCTTTCTGTGGCCAAATGAGAAGCTACTTATGCATTCACGAATCCTTTCTTTTTGTGTGAGTGCAGTTGTTTTCTTATCCATTGAGAAAACTTTGGCACTCTCTTCCCCAAGGCTTTGCATCTGATTTCCAAAAAACATGTGATGAAATTTGGTTTATAAATAGATACAAGGACAGTTATGCCAGTTTCATGACATCACTCATTTTTGTGGAAATTATGCCCCTGGGAAGATGCCAATTTGAGAAAATTTTGTCCCATGGCTGCCGTATCAGTGTGTTTATGTTAACAACTTTAGAAATGATGTCAGTGGAATTTTTTGGATGATCCACAGTGAGACATGCACCATTAGTTCAGGAGGACTCACAAAGTCAGAATTCATGGTTCTGCACTGGGAATTGTTTCACCGAGTCCATGTCAGGGAAAAGCAGCTTCATGTTTAGAGCAATTGAGCACCACACAGCACACACAGTGGGGCCTATTCTACTCAAGAGACAGGTTCAAAATATCTAACCAAAGACTATGCTTCCATTGTCTTGAAATCCAATAATCAGTCCTAACCCAGAAATTTTCATAACTACTGCTCCAAAACCACCCAGCTCATCATAGAACCACAGTTCATTTCCATGTTGAATGCTGATTTTAAGTATTCAAAAGACTCAGAGAGAAAACCAGACCTCTGTGCCTCATTACTAATACTACACAAGGCTTATCACTCCTTCTCCCAGCCAATCATTATTAATGAGAAGCCGAGTATTAGATTTCTAAACGTGATCTCACTCTCTGGTCCTCCGTTCAAGCAGATCAATACTGTGTTTTGACCCATTTCTTCTGGTTTATCTCTGATTCCTACATTATTTTACTCATTTTATAATCCCATAGATTCTATAAAGAAGTCTTGTTTAGTTTTTTTGAAGCAAAGAGAAACTTGGAAGTGATGCTGTGTTTATGTGTAAATTCTTCTTGTACCATTTTCCTAGTATTCTACTTAGTTTCCACTTGAAACCTGCAGTGCCAGTGTGGGAGTGCTCTGCTGAGTGCGGGCTGGAAAGCATCTTTTAGAGGAAATGGACTACAGAGAAAGTAAGACCAACCCAGGGCAAGTGTTTTGCTGTGGGTGATGCCATAACTAATTTAGTATTTGAAATGAGGCAAACAGAACTAGTGTTCTCCTCAGATCATTTGTATATTTCAACATAAACATGGGCTGGGCAGTAGTGGCACATGGCTTTAATCCCAGTGCCTCAATAGCATAGGGACACATCTGTTCAAATCCTTAGTATGGAGAATAACGGCATGTACTATCTCCTCAATATTTTCACCTAATTTAAATTTATACCAACATATCATTTATTCTTATTGGGTGTATGATCAATATATTTTTTTCTATAGGTGAGTGATGAGCCTCACAGCTGGACAGCCCAGATCATAAAGTTTTCACATTTATTTTTAGTTTTTTATTTTTATTTATACATTGATTAATTGATTCTTTTGGTTTTCCAAGACAGGGTTTCTCTGTAACTTTGGAGCTTGTCATGGGACTAGTTCATGTAGACCAGGCTGGCCTCAAACACTAGAGATCTGCCTGCCTCTGCTTCCTGAGTTCTGGAATTAAAGGCTTGTGCCACCACCATCCAGC